GAATTGTTTTTAAAAAAATGATTTATTAATAAATTTTAATTTATTAATTAATAAGTCATTATTAATTATCATTATCAATTAAATTAAATAAAATTTAAAGTCAACTGTAGTCCTCATACTTTGTGAAATTGTTCGTTACCGTCCCTCTACTAAGAAAATGTTCGATGTCGTCCCTCTACTTTCCTTACAATATAAATGTCATCCCTTTACTACACATTTTTTGTTCAATGTCATCCCTAATAGGATGCCATCCATACTTCCGTTAATTTTAACCGTTAATTACCAACGGCCAAAGATCCAACTTATTGTTTATTAATTTTTTTAGACAAGTGGGACCATTTTTTTTTCTTTTGGTTTTGTATTTTTGTTTCTTCTTTCTACTTAGCTAATGATGTCTATTTTGGAGTTCTAATAGTGTTAATGCTATCTATTTAATGGTTTATATTCTGTGATTAATGGTTTATGATAGGGACAATTAGAGCATGTAAATTCCTATAATGTGCTGCCCTGTTTTTGTTGCTCTATTTTTTTTAAGTCATGTCCTGTATAAGCAAGCAATAGAGCAAAGTTTACAAAGACCAATCTGCTGCACTTTTGTTTTTTTTTTTATTAAGTTCTGTTTTTCTATTTTGTCCTGTACAAGCAAATCTTGCATTTATATAGCTGAAAATGCTTAAAAGATAGACATAATTTGGCAATTAACATGACCAAAAAAGAGTCATATATTCCATTTCACATTTGTAGTACATAGGAGATTGCCTTGGTTTGGCATAAGGGGTACATTACAAAAGCAGATAAAAAGATCCTTTACAAATGCAGATAAAAAGATCCTTTACAAATGCAGAAAACTCTCTAATACAACTTAATTGCCAAATAAGCAATATTGCATAAAACACATTTTCAAATTCAACCAAATTGAAGCAACCATCTCTTGATCTCTGAGCTTTTTTCCCATTTCAGAGTTCAAATTCTTCAAATGGTTAATCTCTCCATGCATGTCTAAATTCTCTCTTTTCAATTACAGGAGCAGGTCCGAATTATCTCTTTTCAATTACAGGAGCTCGTCCAAATTCAATTACAGGAGCTCATTCTTCAGTGTTTGCTCCTTATCCAGTAGCATGTAATCCAAAATTCAGCTCAAGCCTCATTATCCTTCTACAGCAATATAAAACAAAAACTATATGTATCAAAATCCAAATCAACCATAATACCACAGCACAACCCAAAATCAACAACAATTAATAACAGATCTCACCAACCTAAATTCAACACAAAATCAACAAGAAAATTCATGATTAACAGTAACTATCACAACCTAAAATCAAAACAAAATAAATGAAAATTTCCACGGTTAACAACAATTGCTCCAACACATTTTGGGTTTGGGTGATTCCATGATTGGGGGAAGAAAAAGCAAGATGATTTTTGGCAACTTTGGGCAATTTTGGGTTCGGCATTTTTGGGCGATTTTGGGTGTAGGATTTTGTGGGTTTTGGTGAAAATGGTGAAGAAAGAAAGAAAGCCAGAACATATAGAGAAGAAGGCTGGAGATGAGGAGCAACCGATTGGGTGAACCGGTGAAGATGGTGCGTGATTTGGGTGAAGAAAATCAAGATGATTTTCAACAATTTCAGGCGATTTTGGGTTCAGCAAATTTGGGCGATTTTGGGCAATTTTAGGCATAGGTTTTCTGGTGAAGATGGTGAAGATGGCAAAGAAAGAAAGAAAGACCGAAGGTTGGTGAAAAAGAGTGAAGAAGAGGAACACCTGGATGGGTGAACTGGTGAGCCGGTGAACTGGTGAAGATGGTGAAGACGGTGAAGAAGGGCAGGGCAGGGGCTTCGTTCTATGGTTCAAGGAAAGTGACCGTGAGGAAGAAAGAAAAGGAAATAAAAGAAAGAGTTAAAAAAAAATAGTCCCACTTGTCTAAAAAAATTAATAAACAATAAGTTGGATATTTGACCGTTAGTAATTAACCGGTCAAAATTAACGGAAGTGTGGATGGCATCCCATTAGGGATGACATTGAACAAAAAATGTGTAGTAGAGGGATGACATTTATACTGTAAGGAAAGTAGAGGGATGACATCGAACATTTCCTTAGTAGAGGGACGGTAA